GATGTGTGAGTAGTTCCTCACCAGACCTATGGGTCCATAGCAATAGCTAGATCTCTCTCTCTCTCTCTCTCCCCTTTGATCTTCTACATAATGTTCTCTTCAGAGATTGATAAGATCTAATCCTTTTATGTGGTGTGTTTGTTGGGATCCGATGAATTGTGGGTTTATGGTCAGATTATTCACTGAAAGTAATTTATTTATATTCTAAACTTTATTATGTGCGATTGTTATAGCCATGTAATGCTTTCCGATTTATGAGTTATCTTTTGCCAAGTTGATGATTAGATCGCCGGTGGAAGTGGTGCATGGTAGTAGGTTCAATCTTGTGGTGTCCTCACTCTATGACAGGAGGAGTAGAGAGGCACGCATTTGTATTGTTTCTACTAAGGCTAAAACGATGGGGTTCGATCATATTAGTTGATCTTATTTTGTCTACATTATGTTACCATACTTAATGCATTACTCCATTTGTCATGAACTTAATACCTGGAGAGGCAAGCATAGAAGCGCTCTCGAAGTGGAGTAATGGTAGTAGATGCAGATGGATGTCGCTCTACTTTTCATGGATGTAATGCCTATGTACAGATCATGCTATGAATAACATCATAACTATACGCTATTCTATCAATTGCCCAATAGTAATTTGTTCACCCACCGTATCGCTATGTTCTTGAGAGAGATGCCTCTAGTGAAAGTTATGGCCCCCGGGTCCATATAAATCATATTGCCAAAACCTTAAATACCTTACTGTAATTTATTTACTTTGCAATTTATATATGTCCTACTATCAGATTTAATCCTTGTAATTAACGAGTACAAGGGTATTGACACCCCTCTTGCACGTGTTGGGTGCAAGTATTTGCTCTTGTGTGTGTAGGTACTACTAAAGATGGTTTAGGTAAATCTCCTATTGGTTTGATAAACCCCGGTTCTTTACTGATGGAAGTACTTTCTGCTACTATATTACTTCACCCTTCCTCTTCGGGGAAATCCCAATGCATTTCACAAGTAGCATCTCACGCAGTAAAATTCATGGGGGGAATCAATTGAGACAGGACACATGCTCCCATATATTACGCTTGTAAGCACTTTGTATGTATGACTAATATTATCCCTCAAATCCATATTAAATCAGAAAGAGCGATTATCTCTAAATGAAGTCGGGTTGCACGAGCATCGGTTGATGAACAACAGATGTGGAAGGCCATTTAGTCTCTAAATATGGTCCCAAAAGTCGAGGTTATTTGGTGGTGAATTGGATGTGGAATCGTTCCAGATGAACATACTCTGAAGCATTGGCATATCAAAGAAGTGAGCATATGCAAAGTATGTCATGCAATGGACAAAGATTTGGAGCATGCTCTGGTCCATTGTTCACATGCCTAGTGTTTTTGGGAAGAAATGCACCTTCTATTTTATATAAGATTGTCGCGTCATGATCCAAACACTTGGACCAGGGATATTTTATGTGGCCAATTGTTTTTCGGAGAGGAACGGGCCAACATTATCACCATCAGTCATCATTTAGCATTCATGCACATGTTGGACACATGATCAAGAGTGTATTGGCTCGTCAAACTCTATGAGGATGACCAGAGAAGCCCCGATGCTCCTTGATATACCTCGATGGTAGCTAGTTGTCTTACCAGGTCATGGATAACGACCCGAGATCTTGAGCACATTAAGATCATCATTGATGCATCAATTAATATTGATGATGGCAAGGGATGTGCTAGAGGTATATAGCGAGATCCCATGTTGCTTTCATGGGCACATGGTGCAAGCCCTATCTCGGAGTCACCAATCTAATGGTCGTTGAGGCCTTATCTTTGTGTGATGGTATTATATTTACCAATATGTGGGGCTTATCATGCCGTGTTGGAAACACACTACTTCGAGGTTGTTAACCTCTAGCCAACTCTCATTTGGTTGTGGCACCTGATTGAAATTGAAGCACATATGGTTAATGTTATCCTGCAAATCCACAATAAATCAGAAAGAGCAATTAGCTCTAGATGAAGGTTAGGCTACATGAGTCTCAGTTGATGAACACCAAACGTGGAAGGCTATTTGGTCTCTAAATATGGTCCCAAAATTTAGGGTCATCCGGTGGCGAGTTATACGTGGAATTGTTCCAGATGAACGTACTCTAAAGCATTGACGTACCAACGAAGTGAGCGTATGCAAAGTTTGTCATGCAATGGACGAAGATTTGGCGCAAGCTCTGATCCATTGTTCACATGCCTGACGTTTTTGGAAGAAGCACACCTTTTGTTTGATGTAAGATTGTCGCGTCATCATCCAAACATTTGGACCAGGGATATTTTATGTGGCCAATTGTTTTATGAAAAGGAACATGCCATCATTATCACCATCATGTGATCCATCTGGCATTCACACACGTGTTGGGCATATGGTCAAGAGCTTATTGACCTGGCAAACTGTGAGGATGAGAAGAGAAGCCATGACACTCCTTGATATACCTCGACGAGAGCTAGTTGTCTTGCCAAGTCATGGCTGGCAACCCTAGATCTTGGCATATTAAGATCAACATTAATGCATCAGTCAATACCGATGAAGGCAAGCAGGTGCTAGGGGTATATAGCGAGATCCCACGCTCCTTCATGGCCATATGGTACGCCCTTTCCGCGAGTCACCGATCCATTAATCGTGAAGGCCTTATCTTTGGTGAGACTTATAATGTGGTGATGAAAACCGACTCTCGCGAGGTTGTTAACCTCTGACCAACTCTCGTTTGGTCATGGCCGAGCTCAAAACTAAAAGAGTTAGCTATCTGTAAAAATGAATATTTGATGAGGAGTATTAATTTTAATTATTTCATTAATCAACATATAATTCAGCTAAACGGTCCAACATATTCATATGCTAAGCGTGTTTGCATCCAGTGACTAAAAAATGTCTGCAGGAGATCTTACCTTGCTGATCAACAGCCTAGCCTGTGTTCCTCGCAAAAGGAAATCCATATAAAACAGTCGAATAGCCGCTTCATTCGAACTCATGGAGATTCTTCGTAATTTTGGTGCAGCCTCGGGGCTGCACATCAACCCCTCAAAGTCGATGGCCCTACCCATTAGATGCCAAAATATAGACCTGGGACATATATTGCAAAATTTTGGAGGATCAGTGGGGAACTTCCCAACCACCTACCTGGGTCTGCCACTGACCCTAGCCAGGCTGCGCATCGCGAATTTGCAGTTCATCATAGATAGGATCAAAGCCCGACTGGCGGGATGGAAAGGGAAGCTGCTACCTTTGGCTAGCCGCCGTGTGCTCGTTCGATGTGTCCTCAGCGCCATGCCTACGTTTGCTTTGACTGTCCTTCGAGTGCCGAAGAAGCTTCTAAAGGAGATTGACAAGTGCAGGCGCAGATTTTTGTGGAAGCAAGATGAGGAGATCACAGGTGGAAGCTGCAAGGTTAATTGGACAGTAGTATGCGCTCCCACATCGCTCGGAGGACTGGGCATCCTCGACCTTGAGCGGTTCAGCCGAGCCCTCAGACTGCGGTGGCTATGGACCTCCTGGACCGACCCGGAGCGACCATGGGTCGGTACAGAGCCACCGTGCAGCAACATTGATAAAAGCCTTTTCAGGGTTGTGACAACGGTCACCATCGGTGACGGCGCAACGGCTCTCTTCTGGCACTCCTCCTGGATCGGGACGCAAAACCTAGCCGCCTCTTACCCCCTCCTCTACTCGCACTCCAGGCGGAAAAACAGGACGGTGCGCGAGGCGCTCTCAGGAGAAACATGGATAAAAGACCTGCGACACGGGAACCTATAGCCACTGCTGCCGGAATTCATCAGGCTACACCGCACCATCTCCTTGATTGTGCTAACTGACGGGAGCAGGGACATGATTAGATGGACTCTCGAAGCGAGCGGCCTATACTCCGCAAGCACGGCCTATGCCGTGCAATTTCAGGGACGTGTTCAAGTTGACTGGCAGAAGCTGATCTGGGAAGCAAAGGTGCCAGGATGCATAAAGATTTTTAGCTGGCTCCTCCTGCAGAACCTTCTATGGACGTGCGATAGACTACAACGGCGCGGCTGGCCGAACACCTATTTTTGCCCGCTCTGCGTCCGCAACCTGGAGACAACACTCCACCTAGTCTGGACATGCCCGCTGGCCCGTGAAGTTTGGGAGAAGGTGGCTGCAAGACGAGGATGCCAACAGTTTCAACCAGTGCAACAGTTCCATGAAGATAGCATTGCCGCTGTTTTCAGCAAATAGCGGCAAACACCCAACCGACGCAAAAGAGGGCCAGCAATGCCGTTATGCTCCTAACTTGCTGGGAGCTTTGGCAAGAGCGGAATCGGTGCGTGTTCAGGGGGAAAATACCATCAGTTCAAGGCATCATTCAGGCTATCGAGCAATCCATTGAACTTTGGCGACAAGCGGGAGCAACTCACCTAGAGATACCCTTTTGGGATCCACCATGAGAAGTCCATATAGAGAAGTTTTTTGTTCTTCTTCTTTTCGTTTTCATCGGTTCTTGAACTGATTGGTCCTAGGACCCTCATCCCACCCTTTGTATTTTCCCATTGTTTCCTGCTTATCAATGAAACGCCAGCAATATGCTGGGTCTTTCAAAAAAAAATTCGAGGAAATAAATATAAATTTCATTTTTGTGCAAAGAAACAACTCTGCTGAACGACCACACGATTTTCCTTTCCTCGTCAACCTCACCACGGCAACGAGCCCGACCAGCCCCCCCGCCCCCGCCACCGCGTCCCTCTCCAAGCGCTGCCGTGAGCCCGCCTTCGCAGTCACGGGGAACGCGACGAGCTCCCGCGGCGGCGGCGGCCTCCGCGAGAAGGCGAGGGCCGTCGCCCGCCTCGCCGGATCCGGCTCCCGCCATACGCATGCTGATGCTCAGTACTCCGGGGGTCCGGTCCCCGTGGTCGCGTTCGACCCCTTCGACATCGAGGCCGGCCCTCCGCCGTTGGCGCTGACGCCCGAGCAGATCAAGCTATGCAAGGATGCGCTCGCGCATTTCGAGCGGAGGAGCAAGCAGCTGGATGTCTTGTCCGACGAGTTCCAACGGCTTCAGGTTTGATTGTGTTTTTTTCCCCAGTTACCAATCCGTCTGCGTAATGATTCTGAAATGTCTGCCAAATATTGCGCACTCTTTGTCGGTAAAATACGGCAATTTAGCATCTACTGCTTTGGGTAGTGATCGCCCTTGTTATGCCGGGATTTTGGTCTTTTTCATAAATTGACATGGCCTTTTCGTGCCAGTTAGTGCAATTATGCAGTTAAATAACCCAATAATTATTCCTTTTCCAGTAGCAGAGGTATATGTCTTACAAAATTCTAGAATTGTAACCAAAGCAATGGATGCACAACTGAAAATATCTTGGGCTCTGAATGTGCCTTTCCTTACATGGTTTATGTATTAGTTTCCCTATGAAGTGCTGATCCCAGATTTCTTTTACGTGAACCATTGTGGATCTTATGCCATATATGTTGAAATGTGGTTTCCCACTTTGTGGCATTTGTGGCCATGCAAGAAAAATGTTTATGTTGATGCATCAGTACCAGTTGCCCTGTCAGAATTTACTTAGTTAACATCACCGTGATACAAGATTTTGAGTGGGATAAGGATGGATTAACTTGAGAAGCTGTAGATCCTTACTCCTATCAGGATTGAGTTTGATTTGTAGAAGTTAAATTCCCTAGGGTTCTATTCCCATCTCTAGATTTTATACTTAATCTTACTCTGTTCATATTACTGGCTCACTACATGGAATGATGGAAGTAGATCTGTTTAGACAATTTTTATTATTCTACCAATGCCCTATTTCTCCAATATAGTTGTAGCATGTTACTTGGCTTTATATATACATTTTTCTTGCATGGCAGATCATTTCTATCTAATTGGTGTTTGGCTTGTTTTCAAGCAGATATCTAGTCAAATGTTTACATCTTGTATTCTTGCATTCATGGTTCGATTTTTTGCAGGCAGTACATGATATTCAAGTACTGTAGCTACCATGAAAATAACACATTCATAGTATATCTTTTTCATATCTGCTGGCGACGTTTCAGGGCATGAGAACAATGCATCCGGAGATGATGAAAATGTCCAGTGTAGCTCGTGATGCTGCCAATAGGGAGAAAAACCGCTATATTGATGTCTTACCATGTGAGATTTGCCTCCTGTATTTTTACATGGATTTGTGGTGATTATTGGGGGTGCAAACCAAGTAAGACCTCCTAGTAGCATTATGGATTTGACAGCATTTGAGATTTGACTCCTTGTCTCTAGTTGATGATACCAGGGTACGGCTAAAATCATCAGCAAGCAGTCAAATTTCAGGCAATGATTACATCAATGCAAGCTTTGTAAAGGTCAAGTTTGTATCATATGCATGTTCCTTTTGGCTTTCTAATTGTTGTTTGAGATAATTGGTAGGAGCTTAAGACGGGGTGTAAAACTTGCAGGCTACTGAGGACAACAATGTTGCAAGATTTATTTCCACCCAAGGACCACTAGTCAGGACATTTGAGGATTTTTGGGAAATGGTTTGTGAAAATCAGTGTCCTGTGATTGTTATGCTCACACAGTTCGACAGTGTTAAGGTGATTGCTTACATTAAACAATCTGTTTAACATCTTTGAATTGATCTAATGTGCAAATGAAACCCAGTCATGCTGGTATAATTGCATGTGCAATCTTGCTTACTTATATGAACCAGGGAGGCATGACAATATAATAAGTCAAACCGAAGCATTACAAGGAACAACATTACATCATTAGCAAACTATACCATTGTGCCATATGAGAACTTAAGCATGAAAAATCCCCACAAGATGCGGAAGCTGGAAAATATGTGATGAAACACATAATGCAAATTTACAGTTCTTACAGGAGAAACCAATAGATGCTATGCTTAAAACGCTATTTTTTTTAAGAATGTAGGGTTCAAATATGGGAGGATCCAAATATTCATGAATGCACTAGAAAATGTGAGCATAATCCTTGCAAGTTGCAACTAAAAACGGAAAACCAGTTGGCTTGTAAATAGCCAACAGACCCTTTTGACTGAAGCATCTTTAGGGGATTTTTGAAGCTCCTGCAGTCCTCTTCATTTATATTTTTATTATGCATGATGGATGTCATATTTTGCGGCATCGATCATAGTAGCTTTTGCTTAGTGATTGCATTTTGGAAACAGTAGGAAATGATGACGTTCTTCCAACTTTATCAATTGGCTTTCTCTGTGCTATAGATTAACTTTGAAGCAGCAGTATTTCCTCTGAAATTATATTTGAAATAATTGCAGTGTGATGAATATCTTCCATTGCAAAATGGTCAAGGGACATATGGAAAGTATGATGTTAAGATTAGGAAGGACACAAGAGATAAGCATCAATTATGTTTGCGTGCTGTGGAGGTGCAGTGCAATGAGGTAAACATTTAAAACATTTAAGGGCATCCATGTATACTTTTTTCATTATTATTTGTCTTAAGGATTGTTTCTCTTTCGCATCGCAATAAAATTTAGATGATGTATGATTTTCTTATTCATAGGTTTCTCCTGTGGGTTTAGTTCTTATGACAGGGCACAAAATTTACTTAGAAACTTGATATGCCTTTTATTATTCTTTCAGAAAATGATCACTTTTATTGTGTTTTATCAGACATCGTAGATGACATGTGCAATGATATCTTATTACTGATGAATTCGCCTTCCTGTTGTGCTGTGAGGATCTAAATGATTAAACTTAGCTGGTACTAGTATATATCTCTATCGATACAGACCTCAGTTAGGTCAGGTGTCACAAAAAGTAATGCCGTCATCATGAGAATGAAACAAGGCAACCATTTAACGTTTATGTGTTATGATTTTTTTATATAAACTTGTGATTGATTTCTTTTCACAATATTACTTGTGTATTCCTTATATACTACTGCCTTTGAATGTATACCAAACCATGGTAAATACAAGGCATATGATGTGGCAAAATTATATATGTTTTAAAGTGATGTACATCTTTAATGTCTCTGGTGGATATGTCTGTAAAAATACTATATACTAATATACTAAATGTTCCTAAGCAGCATCTTTGTTGGGGTTTCTTACTCTTTAGGCCTTGTTCGGTTAATCCTCTTCCCAAGGGGATTGGAGGGGATTTTGTATTGCAGGGGATTTAATCCCCCTCAATCCCTGCCAATCCCCTTCAAATCCACCTCAACCGAACAAAGCCTTAAGGCTTGTTTGGTTACTAGGGATCTAATCCCCTAGTGGAACTAATCCACCAAGGGATTGGGTTGATCATCACTTGTCACTCAATCCCTGTCTAACACAATCCCCATCCCTACTATCTCATTTGGTTGATCCAGATTCAATCCTCTATAGACTATAAATTGTCCCTCCCAGTTTGTTTTGCGCCTCCGTGGATTCGTTCCACGAGGTGGACGCGATTCTTCTGGCCCCTGTGGAATTACGCGGTTTGGGCCGTTGTTGTCCCCGCCGTGATCCAAACCAAACAATGTAAGTATAACCCACGTGTAACAGTTCCCCTCTGAGACAGCCCACGTGGATAGAGTGTGATCCCTGGCATTCCACGTGGTTTAGACTATAACCAAACAAGACCTAAGGTTGTTTTGAGGAGTTGTTCTTAACAATATATAGCACATAAGTATGTTCAGTTCGTATTTATTATTCTATTTTTGGCATAGTGAATCAGTGATCATGCCATCATGACGTGCCACTTCATAATTTCCTGTATAGTCTGTACCCATCAACTTTTACTTTTCATTTTATTTTGTTTTATTGTTTAAATGTAGTTATAGAAGAAGCATGTGGTGACATTCTAGATTATTAAACCATGCTGCACCATTTAACTGATTTCGTTATTTGACTTGGAGATATACGCTCAAGCTTCTGTTATGTTTTTTATAGGATGGTGCTGTAGTGGTCTTCATTTCTGCCGTGTTCAGATTTAAGATATTAAAAATTGCTTATTTGTTAGCACTTGCCAGTATTTCTAGAAACATTTTATGGTTAGAGATCTTCTGATCGTTGTTTTTCATGATGTAGTCAGGCAAGGTTCATTCTGTACTCCATATAGAGTATCCTGATTGGCCCGACCATGGCGTACCAGCAAACACTGATGCTGTGCGACAAATTCAAAAACGGTTACATCACATTCCGAGAGAACATCCTATAGTTGCACATTGCAGGTTTGCTTCAGCTTAATGCTATGCTACCCTTTGCTCATTTTTTTATTCTCTTAACATTATTTTGATCTCTTTCTCCAGTGCTGGAATTGGGAGAACTGGTGCTTACATCACCATCCATAGTTCAATTGAGAGAATTCTCCTTGGAGACAAAAGCTCTTATGATCTTGTTGAAACTGTAAAAAACTTTAGGTCCCAGCGAACTGGAATGGTTCAAACTGAGGTGCGTTCTGTTTCATTCGTACTCCTATCATCTTCATCTAAAAAGAATATACCCCAGTGCCAGCATAATTTAAGCACATCAGACTTAGGCCTTGCTAACAGATGTTCTCTCATGTTACGAAATAGTTAATGAGATAGCAGAAATCTATTTCGTTTGGTACAATGCAAGTGATTACCTACAATTTCAAGGCGAAACATTGCCTGCTGTGTAATCCTAACTTGCCTTCATCGGCATCTTGCGCATAGAGTTGTTAGGTTAAGGTACAGTACAGGGTAAATTAGTTTTTCTTTTGTCATTCCCTCATCCTTGAATTTGATCATGCGACACCTGCCATAGCAGGGAGTTTAGTGTTAGTTTTGCGGAGCTTATTCAAAGTGTACTTTCTTGGTGTAAGTCTTTAACTCAACGAAGCTGGTTTAGTATCTTATTACTGGTCATGTGTATAGAATGAGTTGTGGTCAGTAATTCCAATACACAGTTCCTGTTGACCATTGCATCTAATACTGCTGAACGTGCTAATAGTATTTATGTTTATTGCATGAACAGTTTAGTGTTTTTTATGTGTATTTAGATGTTGTATTGGCATATCTTTGCTTTTCAGCAACAATACATGTTCTGCTACCGTGCAATTGCGGATGAGCTGAAAGATCTGCTGAGGTCGTCAGGCCATTGAGGTATCTCTAAGGTAGGCTGCAAGATGCGCATGCAGTGTCGCTGCAAATACATACACTTGTATATGCTGTGTAGCTAAACTATAATTATTATTCTCACTGTATGCTGTTTCTTTGTAGGAAGAACTGGACTGCTACCGTATTGTCGCCCTTCTATTTCCATCGTAAACCGAAGCATCTTGTTGCTTGTTGCTTTTGTTAGGGCACCAGTGCATTAAGATCACTTTGCCACATCAGTATTGTTAAGACAACTGCTTGTTGAAGACTCAGTAGAGTTTACAACATCTGGTGGACCAAAGCATGTAAACAGCCCATTCCTCGACCAACAGTAGCAGAATCATGGGTCCCTTTCCCTTGTGGATGATTTATATTGTTTCCCAAGACACCAGGAAGATGAATGCCAGGCGTATGTAGTTAGATGAGACCAATGCATCGTTGATTGTATCGAAACTGAAAACTGGGCATCTGGGACGATTATTTGATTATTTATTGTGTCCCTGTGGGAGCCTTTCTCAGAGTTATTGAAAATGTATCCACTACTGTTATCCAAGTCTTCTATCTATACTGAAACATAAGAGCGTTTAGATCACTAAAGCGTGACCACTAGCAAAATCTCATGCGGCAGCATGCTATGCATCTCAGGGAGCTTAACTGGACCGACCTTTGTAGGCACTGTCACGAAGCCTGGTCCAAACCAGCTTAGCAACGCCGCACTCGAGACGAGCACCACTACATCATCTGGTTTCGTAAATCTGCATTGCCCGGTGCCGATAAGGTCCCAAAGTCTGCTCGGGGGCGTGTGTGTGGCAGCCTAGCCACCCACAAGGCCACAAGGCACGCTATATGTGGTTGTCGAAGCCGGTTTGCTGCGCATCAACCAATCACCGGCCGCAGGGACATATAACCCGTGCCTCATCTGCAAGCCTGTGGTGGACACAGGCAGTGCTAGCTCTCTCGCTCGCTCGATCGTCCTCTCCGCCGTGACGCAGCCAGTCGCCATGGCCTCCACCGCGCTCTCCACCGCCTCCAACCCTACCCAGGTAACCATCCCTCCCTTCTTCCTGCCGCCGTCTGATCTCTTGTAATTGCTGAGAGCATGTTGGTGCGCAGCTCTGCCGGACCCGCGCAAGCTCGCTGTGCAAGCCCGTCAAGGGCCTGGGCTTCGGCCGGGAGCGCGTCCCGAGGAACATCACCTGCATGGCCGGCAGCATCTCCGCGGACCGCGTGCCGGACATGAGCAAGAGGGAGCTGATGAACCTGCTCCTGCTGGGCGCCATCTCGCTCCCCACCTTCGGCATGCTCGTCCCCTACGGCTCCTTCCTCGTCCCGGCCGGCTCCGGGAGCAACGCCGGAGGGGTCGCCGCCAAGGACAAGCTCGGCAACGACATCCTCGTCGAGGACTGGCTCAAGACGCACGGCCCCAACGACCGCACGCTCGCCCAGGGGCTCAAGGTATGTAGTACGTTCGGAAGATTCAGACGGCCATGCATGCAAAGCTATATGCAAGCAGAGATGAAGAAGCTGATGGATCAGCCCAGGCCCAGAGTAAGTTGCTGAATTCGTGTGGATGTTGCAGGGTGATCCTACCTACCTTGTTGTGGAGTCCGACAAGACCCTCGCCACCTACGGTATCAACGCCGTGTGCACGCATCTTGGATGCGTCGTGCCGTGGAACGCCGCCGAGAACAAGTTCCTCTGCCCTTGCCATGGATCCCAGTACAACAACCAGGGCAAGGTTGTCCGCGGGCCTGCACCTCTGGTAAGATGCCCTCTTAGTCCTATCTCAACTGAACCTTTCTGAAGAATCCATTGTTTGCTTACTGAACTGAACCAAGCTGACCTCATCTGCACTGCTCTTCTCAAACAGTCGCTGGCCCTTGTTCACGCCGACGTCGACGACGGCAAGGTCGTCTTCGTGCCGTGGGTGGAGACCGACTTCAGGACCGGCGACAACCCGTGGTGGAAATAAGCGACGCAAGCTCCGGCAGCAATGCTCACTCGTGTGATATGTTAAGCCTCCTGCCAGTCCTAAGAACGCTGCTATAAGACTACTCCTGCTATAAATGCACCTGTTTCTTGTATCCAGTTATATGTATACAGTCTATGGAAGAAGAGAAACCTTTTCATTGCATATAGCATCACATTTTGAGGACTCGGGATCTGGTACTACGATGTAGACGACTCTTTTTCTATAGCTGATCAAACCTGAAACACACATCTCCTGAATCTAGACAACCTAGATAGCGATCTGAATAGTTAAAGATCTAGGATGGCATATCTGCAGGCTGCAGCATTTGTTTCAGAAGGGCAATGCAGAGTCGATCTGTTCTGGAAATGATACAAGCCACTGTCTCTAGAAGCTATTCTCTCAAGTATATTTGGGATAGCTTCTCTCTTCAAAAATGACACTTTCCTCTTGAATCAAGTCAACAATGGAACTTTAATTCTTTCTCCCTAGTTCTACTCGAAGATCGAAGCCAACATGTCATTCTAATAAGTAGAGAATCATCCGGATATGATAAAATTCATCCGAAAAAATCCGGACATGTTAATGCCAGGAAAAGACCTGTTCAAAATTTCTGGCATACAAGAACAAAGCTAGAGCGAATTCAGTAAATTAAGCTTTCACGAGAACAAATGCGCAAACATTCGCATCAAAGCTAGAGTAGATATATAGGACATTCATGGACCATGATACATCCAGCATCAAGCATATGAATACAAAATGCAGAAACATTGTGTTTCGCAGATAAAAAATCTTCTAGTAGAATATATATGAATCCAATCCCACATTACAGTAAACTTGCTAGTACTAATCACACCAAATGTACTCACATAATAACAATTCAAGAATCTATTTCACTCGACGAAAATTGTGATATCCATGACCCATCCATCCTCCACCTCCCTCATCTATACAGCTACCAAGAGTAACCCCAGCAGAAACAGTGAACATTTACCACGGCAATGCAAAAATCTTAGCTCAAATATAAGCGATCATCAGAATTAACCGGCTTCAGGAACAGCCCATGCGATCATCAGAATCTACCACGGCCATGACTCTTCCTCCCCTTGCGCCTACGGAGAGTGGGACTCACCTTCCGGCGGCTTCCCCTCCACCGAGTAGGCTTCCGTGGCGGGTGGCGGCGCGTACATCACCTGACGGAATGGCGGCATGGAGCGGGGGACGCCGTAGACGCCACCGACGCCCCCAGACGAGTAGAGATCTCCCGGGCCTTCGTTTCTCCCTCCACCGACAATGTGGTAAACCGGCCCGGGCATGTAGCCGCCGTGTCCAGCCGCGTTGAGGTAATGGACCGGGCGCACGGGCACGTAGAACACCGGCTGCGCCATGTACGGTGGAGGCGGGGCCGGCCACGGGGCGCTCTCCGGGACGTATGGCACCAGAGGAGCGCCCAGCACGGGAGCCGGCGCGTCGTCGTCGTCGTCGCCTTGCGCCACCTCCGCGTCAGACTTGGGCTGCGCACCCGCGCCGGGGCTGGGCTCCTCGGAGGTCGTGTCGAAGCCGAAGAGGTAGTCCGGGACCTCCGAGACGATCGACGAGGCCTCGGATCGGCCGCGCTCGATGGAACCCGGCGGGGGGGCGTTGAGCTGGTCGACGAACCACTGGTCGGAGGAGGCGTCGCCGACACCGGAGAGCACGGAGCCGAACGCGCCCGCGGGGGAGTGGTCCGGCGAGGCGGCGAAGAGGAAGAGGCGCAGGCGGGGCGGCTTGATGGCGGTGGCGGCGAGGCTGTGGACGCGGTCGAGCTCCTCCATGAGGTTGTCGACGTCGTCGTCGGAGGAGACGGAGATGAGCGCGTCGAGGTCGTCGTGCGGGAGCTGGTACCTGAGCGCCGGGGTGGGCTCGCCGGGGACGAAGAGCGCGGGGGCGAGCTTGGCGAGCGCGGCGAAGAGGACGGCGTGGGAGGTGGTGCGCGGGACGGAGACGATGCGGGTCTCGCCGCCGACGTAGCGGAGCCGGTGGTCGCCCGGGCGCGGCAGGATGCGGCCGCCGAAGCTGCACATGAGGCGCACGCACGCGGCCCCGTGCGGCTGCGCCTGCGCCCGCGGAGGAGGCGGGTGGTGGTAGCCGGCGCCACCGCCGTTGCCGCTGCCGTTGCCGTTGCCGTTGCTGCTGGCGGTGCTGCCGGCCCCGGCGCGGGGGGTGGAGGTGGCCGAGGAGGCGTCGTGGTGGTGCG